GATGTAACAAATACTATTCACTCACATTCTCCAGCAGAATATTATACTATTAATACTATGAGTTTAAATCTGGGCTGGAATGGAAGTTCAGGCTTATTTTGTGTTGAAAGGGATAAAAATATAAGGAGTTGTAGGAAGTCTTGGTTTCTTTTTTTTTTCTTTTTCTTTTTTGGACTCTGGCAGTTACTCAAGACTCTGAGCCTGATGCCAAATGCTCAGATGCTGTTCAACATGGATCATGGAATTTAAAACCCCATCTTAAAAAAAGAACAATGAACCCAAGTGGGTTTTTTTTTTTAAAAAAATGGTTATGACATATCTTTTTTTGGGGGGGAAATAAGTTGTGAACAACTTACCGTAAATTAGAGAAACACTGGCAAAAATATCATTTGATAAAGCTCAGGGGTGTCAAACGCTATTTCATTGAGGGCTACATCAGGGTTGTGTTTGACCTTGGGGGCCCCAGAGGAGGCATGGCCAGGATGGGTGTAGTTAGTTCAACATCACTTGTGTCTGGGATGCCTGTGGTGGCCCAAGCACTCTGCCAGTAAAAACAGGCTGCTGAGCTCTGTTTTTGGCTGTGACAGCCTCCTGCAACCCTTTGCCAGCTAAAATGGAGCTCAGGAGGGCTGCACGTGGCCTTCATGAGCTTCGTTTTTGGCTGCAATAGCCTCCTGCAACCCTCTGCCAGTGAAAATGGCTTGGGGAGGGGGGTGCGACCCTCTTGAGCTCCATTTTCACTGGCAGAGGCACTGCATGCCAGTCCTGCATGCTGTTTCCGGGCGGCCCTGCCAGCCAGATCTGGGCCCTGGGCCTTGAGTTTGATACCCCTAATACAGATGTTCATCTGACTTTTTTTTTTACTTTTAATTTGCAGAGGAACTGAAGTCCTCCTAGAATGTTCTCTTCTGGTGTTAGTAATCCTCACTGGTTGTACTTCTTTGGCAAAAATGGCATCTAGGTCAAAGTTTTTCAAATTATGTTCTGTGGATCCCTACCACTCAGTGGAGAAGAGACGTGGTGTAATGATTAAGGCACCAGACTAGAAACTAGGAGACCTTAGGCATGAAACCAACTGGGTGACCTTGAGCTAGTCATTTGCTCTCAGTCCTAAGAAGGAAGAGGAAAGGACAAACTATTTCTGAAATCTTGCCAATAAAACTACAAGGACATGTCCTAGCAGTCACCTGCAGGCACCAACACTAACTCAAAGACTTGCATACACACACACACACACACACACACACACACACACACAATGGTGGGGGTAAGTAATAAGAATTTTAGGGGGGGTTCTTGAGAGAATAAGGGAAAATATTCCAACACAGCCAATTTTCTGTTAGAAAATATTTTCTTTTTGTTGAAGGGTTCTACTCCGTGTTTCTTTTTAACTAACAGGTTAATGCAGCCTGAAAAATTTGATAACCCTTGATCTAAGCCATAGAGTTTTTGAACACCATTTTTGAAGGGCATCCATCAAATATGAACCAAATCAAAGTTGCTAAAGAGCAATATTTAGACAAAAAATCCCATAGACAGGAGTAACCCCCCCAAATTCTGCATTTTAGAACTTGTTCTTGGTGCATTTTATGATCCATTTCTTCATAAATTTATTAGCCTAGAGAAAAGAGGTTCCTGTTAACTTTCATAAAAAAACCAAAAGCCACTTTTCATACTGCACCCCTGCGATGCAGAAGGAAGCTTTATTGTCCATTTCAATGACAGTATTAAAAATAAATACATGATACAATCAGTGTGGCCATTTAATCAGAGAGAAGGAGGAAATTATGGAACAAATTGTACACAAAATCTGGCACAAAGAAGCAGGAGAATCTTTGGAGAAAGATGAATGTTTGGTAGATCGATGGGAGCAGCATTGGAACTTGGAAAAAGCAGAATAGAAGCAAACCTTTTTTCAAACATTTTTAATAGCAATTTCTCAAAGCTTCATGCCTCCTAAAGATATGGGACTGTAACTCCGCAGTATTATCCAAACTAGCTGGAGACTGTGAAAACTGAAGTTCAACACTTCTGGTGGGCACCATGTTGGGGAAAGCTGTTTGATAGCACCAAAGATTCTATAAATTATGATCTCATCTCTTACAAGAATAACCTCTGAGGTAGGTCATCAATGCATAGGCAGTCCATTCAGAATTTATTGTCTGGGGCAACCCAATGAGCCTAGTTCTAATGTTAAAATAAAGCCTCGAATCTGAAACTAGAAAAGTTAAATTAGGAACTCCAAAATACACCCTGGAAAATATTTCTAACAGTGAATTTGCTGTATTAGAACTACTTATGTACAACCATAACTTGACTGTGTACTGCATTTGCACAGTGTTTGTCAGCAGCCAGCAACCTTTTCAAGTCCCAAGCAACATCGCATGGGAGCCTTCCCCCTAAGTTGCCCTCCCACCACAGATAATTTGTAATCTCCTGAGATGGTGACAGTCTTACCCTGCGTTCTTAGTAGAATCGGAAACACAGGATTGTAATATTCTCACACGAGACTTTGCAAACTCTTGAACAAGCTGAAATTTTATAAGATGGGAGGGTGACGATGTTAGATTTTGAAAAAAAATTATTAGAGGGCATGTGAGACAAATCTTCAGATGTGGTGGCAACATGGTTCACTTCATCAAGCAAATTAACATTGCCGTAGAGCTTTGACCAGCCATTCCAACAGACATTAGAGGTTTTGTGTCTGCTTAGGGCATGTGCTGAACGTCTTTTCTGTCTGTTGGAACTGCCAGGAGATGGAACTGAGGTAAAATGAAGCAAAGTGGCTGCTTTGTTGATGTTTGCAAGCAAGGGTTCCACACTGCTTTGTGAAACAGTTTCATGGGGATGCTTTACACAAACCTTTGTTGAAGGAAAGAACCCTTTAGAAGCTGAACACGGGCTTATTTTCTCCCCCCCCCCCAATGTTAATTTTATTTTAATTGGGCAGGCTGCAGATGCTTTTTCTGAGGACCAAGAGGTGCCCAGGTGCATGCAAGCTCTTTATGACTGCCACTTGCTGTGTTCATTGCCCCCACAGCCCCTCCATGTGCTTCTGTGCCAGTGAGCATCAGAAAGCATTTGGTACAGATGCAGAATTTCAAATAAATTTGGCATCTTTCCCTGCTGTGAAGGTATATCCATTTGTAATGAAAGAATAATGAATTTCTCTTTGGGAAAAAAGCATGAATTTGGGAACTGAGAAATAGTAACATTTCTTACCACCTGAACTTGAATAGCGCCAAATTCTACCTTCATGCAATGTGTGAATATTGATGATCAACAACTAAGTTGTTACAAAAAGGGTTTTTTTGGACAGGGCATTAGAACAAGATGGACTGTGGTTTTCTCTTCCTATCTTTTCCTTTGTTATTTCTTTCTTCTCAGGATGTTAAAACTACAGCTAGAAAATAGCCATCCAAGACCAAAAGCTCTGTCAGGGGCTTGCTAAATCTCTTTTATAGACGGGTAGTGGTGCATTCAGAGCAAAAAGGTTGGGGGGCAAGTTTCACTCAGTACAATGCTCCCAAGCATGCAAATTTGTGCCTATTTCCTGCTAAATAGAGATTCTCCAAAAACAATTTAGCCAGAATCTAAAATACATGAATGGTTAACTAGTGAGGTGGAAATAGTTGTCAATGCAGATGTTACACATAGTGTATCTTTCTTCATCCCGTTTTCGCACCTCAAGGGAAAAATTCTATTAAAAATATATGGGAATCTCCCTCTATGTCTCCCCCCCTATATCTTTCAACATTCTAAAAGCATTTACAGCTGGAACTATATGATTACTCATTTAGAGTAGCCTTTAGACTAGGATTTTTCAACCTGGTGCCATGCAGATGAGTGTAACTCCTATAGTCCAACACATTCTGATAATGTTGGATTGGGGAAAGCCATTTCTAAAGTCCCATCTGTCGTATTTTCTCATAATCTTGTAATAGTAAATAGTATCTTTCGGCAGAGCTTAAATCTACTGAGGGGTATATTTTCAACATCATTTTCCTAATTCCTTGAATTGAAGATCTACCTATCTCTTCCAATATGACATTTTCTACCTTAGAGAAATGGTGTGAACTCTGCAAGTCTTCAGCCAAGAACTAATTTCACAATTCCTAGCAAACAAGCTATCTCTCCCATGAGATTCTTCTTCAAAATTGATTTGAATCAATTTTCCCTTGTCCAGCAATGCGAGGATGTGCCTTGTCCTTCTACTTCCTTGACTAAACAATGTTTCACCCTCCCTGTCTCAAATATTAGGAGAGAATGTAATTGAAAAGGTATGGTTCTTCACCCCCCATCCCCCAAAGTAGCAATATCCAAAGCTGGCAAAATCTAATCATCAAGAAGCAGATACAAGCTTCCAACATTTCAGGGGGCTCAAAACCAAGTAGATGAATGATAACGTTTCTCCATCTTTTAGTCATATCTATTGCTGCTGAAGTTTGCGAAGACTTAGCCCCAGTCCAATTCTTTCCAATTGTTTCTTCAGATTCTGGCCAAATATGTTTTAATATTTTTTAAAAAAAAAATCATTAAGATTAATTTAAATCAAAAGGATAACATTATGATTCCATGTGGTTAACTTTCATTTTCTCTGGCACTACCTGTCCCAAACACTCAGTGTTTTGATAGATCATCACAGCACATAAAAAAATGCAATCAGGATCTGGCTATATATTGGGTCAAGTTATTGATTGGGAGAGAGGTTTAGGCCAATAGTACTGAAAAAGCATTCGAAGTAAGGGATCAGGTTTCCTATCACTATGTCAAGTAGTGGATCATATACAACTTAAATCCCAGCAGTGGCCCTTTGGAATGCTGAACATTCTAGTGCTTCCATTTAATTTTCTAGTTTCAGACTTAGAAATTTTCAGGGGTCAGGGTAGAGAGGGCAGGCTGGGAAGCATACATTTTTTTGGCTGTTTTTAAGAGTGGCAAAAAGGGAAAAAACAGATCAATCCCAAGGGATGAAAACACTCCTTAAATTGTAGTGTGCATCTGAGAACTCAGATACAGATACCCCAATACAGCCTTCCAAGTCTTTTTTTATCCAGCTCCTCTTATTGGCTGTTAATTTTTAGTGAGTTAAAATTAAACTTAGTGATATTAAACTGGATAAAATGCAAGGGGATGGATGACATGGTGAAATGCTCAGGCAAGGAAGCGGATGGGATAAAAAAAAAAGTTTATTTCTACCAAGGTTCCACTGGATCTCTCCCATCTGGAACCCTGATATCTTCCATGTGATCCATGGGGGCTGTTACTGGAAAAAGTGTTAAACAGCAGCCATTCATAAAAAAAAAAATAATGTTTGGGTGAACAATGTGGCATAATCAAGAAGCATCTAATTTCATCTAAATTCTATGAATGATTCCAAAGTTCAGATTTCAGGCAAGAATATTCTCTCTTAGCATCAGTCACAGGGATACTGAGAAAGAAGCAAAGGGAAACTAGAAAGAGCAATAACAAAAAGAAAAAGACACGTCAAAATATGGCCTCTTCCACTTTTGACTCTGACCATGACCACTGTCTGCTTGAGTTTTATGCATTTTTGATGCATGACCTCCTACAGATTGCTTCCCCCAAATGTGGTTGTTGATAGGTACAAACCTCAACAGTAGTACCCCTAATGGATTACATCACTTGTTAAATAGCAATGATGAAATGAAAGTGCAGTTTGGGCTTTCCACCATAAGCACTGAAATATTTTGGCTAAATGTATACATGAAAGGGTAAAGTGTTCCAGGGATGATATGTCCATTCATGTCCTCTCAATTTCTTCTCCAAACTCAATGTCTCTTAGTAGAAGCCGGATGCCTGGCATTGGTATGCCTGGCGTTGGTGAAGCATGGTTCAATCTTTTCATAGTCTATTTTCCTTCCCCAATGAAGTGACATTTGAGACATGGGTTGCTTTAAATTCAAAAGAGGTATGTCATCACCCAGAGGGGTAATAAGGAACATTGTTGTGGTAGTTGTAGTCAGGACACACTTTTTGAACAAGTCTGTAATCTATGCTGTAGAAGGTTATGTAGATACAGATAACTTTGAATGGCTTGGAACAAACCCAGGAGACCTGGCTCTGTGTGTGGTTCAGGAAGCAGGTTTTAGAAGGGTCATAAGTGCACAGGGTAGTCTTCTTCATTTTGCTCACCTTCTCAGACTCCACTCGGCAGTTGAAGATCTTTGATTCTTTTGCCTCTATGAAGATTTGTTGCTCAAGATCAAACTCAACTGCTTTGTTTGGTGGCACCAAGCTGACCGAGATGTTCCCATGGCCAGTGGAGTTATGCCGAAAGAACACATTGACTGTGCCATTCCCATGATCAACCACTTTGCCTGTAATTAAGAGGTTGAGTTTTACTGTCTTGATGTTGGAGTAGAAATCACCCCACCCAAATATTTTCTTGAACTGACTAGGGTTGGTGAGGGAATCTCTTCTTCCACGAGGTTGTTTGCCTTTTCCCTGCTTGGACAGACTATCTAGGATATTCCAAAATTCTGGTGCATTACTGGAGGCCAATTCTAAGAGAGTTGTGTTCTGGAAGTAAGATGGGGTCACAGAAGACTTTAAGGAGACTTGGGCTTTTTTCTTTTGCACTCGGGGTCTTTGTTGAGCTTTGGAAGATTTTCCATTTTCTTCTTCCTCCTCTTCTGTTGCCTCATCTTGGCCACAGATTACCTATATGGAACAAGAGGACAGCAGGACCTCATTATCTGTTTTTCCTTTAGGAGGCAGCTGGACTCCGTGATTTTAATTCCACCTTCCAATTCCATGACTAATAGTTAGAAGCATGGCAAAATACTTTCCCAACACGTAGTCCTTCAGATCAGTTGTATCTACAGCTCCTAGAAAACTTAGTCAACATGATTATTGAAGAGAATACAGACTGTTACATAGAATTTTATTTGTATGACAGATTGTATTTGTATACAGATTGTATTTGTATATAATCTGGCACCTAAATGGAGAGAATTTGTGCAGGATAACTATGAAAATTCTGGCTGTTATCTAGATATTCACAAAATGATGTAGTTAAAATTTTTGTCTCTCATATGTATGATTTCATAAGTTAAGATTTAACATTACAAGCTGATCAAGGCATTGTGATATTCTCTCTCTCTCTCTCTCTCTCTCTCTCTCTCCCTCTCTCTCTCTCTCTCTCCCTCCCTCCCTCTCTCTCTCTCTGTCAAATTGTAATATGATGTGATATATGAGTAGCCTATAAGTAGTTGCTATATATTTATAAACCTTTTAATTTCAGGTAAAAATTGGCTTTTACAGCAAGCCCAGTGCCCTGAAAAAATGCGGGCAATGATCTTTTAAACTTCCATCTGTGCTAAATTTGGTTTTTTATTACATAATGCCTTGAATAGATTTAGTGCTTGACAAAAAGGTCTCTACCCCAAATATGGTTCCCAAATGGAGAGACGTCCAAAATTAGACATAAAGTAATAGATGAGTTGTATGACTTTGGATTTTGTTATGCCTGGATATGAAGAAAAAAAGGCAAACAAAGAAGGGGAAAGGGTCCAAAATTCAGTTTAAAACAGTAGGAGAAGAGAGGACAAGACATATTTTAAACATTCACTGAGCTGTAGTTTATCATGATAAATTTAAATCCAATTAATCCTTAGGTTGTGTGTGTATGTGTCCCATTTACTCCAAGAAAATACATTTCAATGATTAAGAAGTTAAACTGAATTTGGAAATTATGGAATTACTGAATTAGGACAGAACACCCCCCCCTTTTCTCTTTTATGATTCTTTCTTTGGTTAAGGGAAACACTTTAGTGTATATAAACCGCAACACTGTTTTATATCCTTCTCATATTTTATAGGGAAGTGGAACATTAGATCTTATAGATCCAAATTCATCCCTCTTCATGACACCCAGACATGGAAACTCACAGTATTATTTCCAGAAAAATTGAAGTAGGAGTACAGTGTATACAACCATCAGCTTCTGGAGGATTTAAATCAAATAAACAATCAAGCATTAAAGAAGAAAAAGACATACTCTAATATAGTTATCCAGATAATGATTGTTTGAGTTGAGCAGCCCTAAAAGCCCATTAATTAATTAATTAATTAAACATTGTTTAAAGGAAAATAACTTCATGAACTCCAGTGAGAAAATTGCTTTTGTAAGCAAACAAAAGTAAAGATCAACCATAGTTTGGCAGGATTACAAAACCAATTAATGAAACAGAATCAAAAGCCACAAGTTTCTTTTCTTACAAAAATTGTGAAGAAAGGAGAAAAGAGATATGGACCAAGGAGAAAAACAAGAGTTATTTTTATACTATAAACAATACCGGTAGTTCCTCAGGATGTCTTAATTCTAGGTGATGTCACGCCTAGAATAAAATTGCATGCATAAGGAGCAGTAAAGTGAAAACAAATAGGTAGAGTAACAAGCAGCACAATCTTATGTATACGTTTGAAGAGTTTCAGTGTTGGAAACTGGAACTGGGATTGTTGAATTAAGACAAAAGCCACTTTTCTTCCCTCTCTTTACTCCCCTGTTGATTCAGGAAAACGCTTTTCTGCATATAAACCCCACAACTACTTTGAAATCCTTCACGTATTATGATTCTGTAAGGAAGTGGAATATAAGATCCTACAGATCCAAATTCATCCCCCTAGATAATTTTTAAACCCATTTTTAACCAATTCTGATGCAAAAACTTCCAAATCTTTCTAGCATTTGATTTCTCCTTCAAGGTTGTAACACATCCATCCATTGCCTCTTTTCTTTCCGTACCCCGCTTCTTCTCCAATTTCAGGAGGAAATGATAAAAATTCATATCCTAAGAGCTACCCAAGGAAGGCATCAGGTAGAATTAAAATAGTGCATAAAAAAGGAAACCCAATTCTGAATTTTCATAGGAACTAGCATGGTCTTCCTCCCTCCCTCCCTTCTCTTTTTAGGAAGGACAGCCTCTTTCTTCCCATAACCTTCCCAAGGGGTTCTTAACCTTGGCAATTTTAAGATATAGGACATCTAAAGTGGCCAAAGTTGAGAAGCCCTGCTCTGGAATGAAGGTCCATCCCTGAGTGTTTGCCTTAATCATGTTAACAATTACTTAATCCAGGCATTTAGTTGAATGGCCTTTTAACCAGTGTACTGATTCAGTGAGTGGGGTTGAAAGCTATGAGCAAAGAAAATAATAGGTAGGTGTCTGGATATTGTCAACGTCAAACAGAAGAGGAATATTAAAATGAATGGTACAGACTGATAGTTGCAAAATGTTGATTATTTCCTCTTGCCCAATGTTAGCATGACCGATCATTCAATATAGCTAGGGTACCCCAAGGGTTTTAAGAACTGGACTGTCTTAAAAAAATAAACATAAAACTATTGAGTTGCCCATCTATGCCCATTTGTGTGTATAGGGAGGTGGGTACTGGTTTTTCCATGCTATCTTGCAGAGCTCAGGACAAACAAGGAATCATTTGCTCCAAGTTTGGGATATTCAATGGTTTTCCTGCAATGCAGCCTCATTCTGGGGCTGTTTAGGAGGCACCCATAGCAGTGATGGGATTCAAACTTTTTTACTACTGGTTCTGTGTGCGTGGCTTGGTGGGTGTGGCAGTGGGAGGAAACTTTAAAATGTCCGGGTCTCTGAACTACTCAAAATTTCCACTACCGGTTCTCCAGAACTGGTCAGAACCTGCTGAATACCATATCTGACCCACAGTCTTTCCCTTCCTACTTCTGGATTGCCAGGGGAAGCTTAAAGAGAATCCAGGCTCTTTAGTCAGAGCCTCCTCTTTCTCCAACAGGAAATTTCATTGATCAGATTTGTACTCCACATTTCCATCAAAAGAAAGAGCAGTTGAGAAATTGAAACAGAAGCAATTAATTAAAAACACAGTAAGCAAAAGTAAAATGAGCATAACGTAACAACTGCAGACAAAAGTTTAATATGGTGAAATTGTGCAATCATTATAAATAAACAAAAACATTTCAGAAAGTTATTAAAGTATTTCATTAATCTATGTGCCGTCTTTTAGCAGAGACCACCTTAGTCTTTTATTTCAATATAACCCGTCTCATACAAAGAGAAGGAAATCACGCCATTTATTAAAGAGAATAAAAGGAATACTAATATTTCCCTGAGGTTCTCAATGTACTCCCCATGGATTAACCAGGATATATGTTTTTCCTCAAAATGTCCAATCAACTGCCATGCAAATCTAAAGCTTATGAGAATTGTAGACAGACATTTGGCAAATGGTTGGTTCACGACTTTTGCTATTGACATTTACTGTTAAAATAAATGCTTTTTTTTTTGCAATGCCAATTTAAAGTTTGTCCTGCTTGAAGCAAATCCCAGATCATGCTCATCAATCTGTGCCAAATCCAGCACTTTCAATGGTCCAGTGATATCTTCAAATTTCTACCTTATTATCTTTCTCTATTAGGATTGGAGCAGCCTTGAAATGCTTTATAATAGTGATTGTTCTTTAGACATATAACATGAGCTGATTAATCAATGGAAAATATGATAATGCTGGGCTAGGTGGAAATGAGAAGAAGGAGGAGGAAGAGGAGGAGGAGGAGATGGAAGATCCCACAGTGCATGAAGTGGATACACAAAATAGTGGAAACTACAGGAATGCAACCACAAGAATTGCCTAAAGTGGTGTGAGATTGGAGAGTTTTTAGTTATGGAATTACTAGGCATTGGTTACAGTTTGACAGATCATATCAACAACAGAAATGCCATAAAACAAACTCATATCTGTTTATAGTGAAGTTTGAAGACTGCCCAGAGACAAAATGGGCATATCCTTAGTCTTAAAACCATCAGCGAGATAATTATAGTTATAGAAGCAAAGATAATATGATGAACACTAAAAAGTTGATTTCATCAGAAGGTCTTTTTCCAGAAGGGGTATATTATAGGGATAAAGAAATGTAGCTACCAGCTGTTGCCCCCTCCCCCTATCTCCCATTAGTATACATAATAAGGACATCAAAGCAATATGCCTGATAGATGGACAGATTACATATCCACCAATCCCATCATGACTATTCCAAATTTTCTGAAGTTGGCAACTCACAAAAACCATCATTCTTATTTAATTTGGGCATTATGTTGTTTGTACAAGTATGAGAACTGTCACCAGCATACCTTGCAATAGGACAAAGTGACAAGGACTGTATATTTTGATTTGAAGGAAAATCTCCATGTACCATTATTACTCTCTGACACCTTCAACTGAGATATGCCAGAAATTGAAATAAAGAGGCTTTGCATATGGCTATAGAATATGCAAATTCTAAGGAAAATTAACAGAATAGACTAACAGAGTTGGAAGGGACCTTGGAGGTCTAGTCCAATCCCTTGCTCAAACAAGAAGACCCTATACCATTCCAGACAAAAAGTTGTCCAATCTCTTCTTAAAAGCCTCCAGTGATGGGACAAGTTCTGAAGGCAAGTTGTTCCACTGGTTAATTGTCCTCACTGTTAGGAGTGGTATTCCTAACCATTTTGGATTTTGGATAGTAGCCCATTTGGAATTTGTTTCCAATATTATATAATGATAGTCATCAGCCATCATTAGATGACATGAAGATAGGATGAGACCAAAAATGAAGAGCAAGTTCATGTATCCTAATGCACTATCTGTGGCTATTAGTTTTGATGGCTGCATAGGATCTTCTGAAT